TATGATATATGTATGAATATATACATATATCATAATGAATGTATGAATGTATATATACCTATATACATGCATGTCTGTATCTATCTTGTGTTTCTAATTTGCTATTTTTTTAAAATATATTTTTATTGATGGGGAGAGAGAGAGAGAGAAAGAGAGAGAGAGAGAGAGAGAGAGAGAGAGAGAGAGAGAGAGATATCAACATCAATGATGGGAGAGAATCATTGATCTGCTGCCTCCTGCACACCCGCTACTGGGGATTGAGCCAATAACCCAGGATCAAACCCAGGATCCGTTAGTCCACAGGCTGCCGCTGTATCCACTGAGCCAAACCACTAAAGATGATTTGATAAATTTTAAAGGATTTTTATGTCATGGTTATGACAAATATTGGTCTACAATTTTATTTACTTTTAGAGTCTGTAAATTCTTTTTGTTAGTGTTATGCTGGCTCAAAAACAAGTATTGTTCTATTTAGTATTGCACTTTCTCCTCTCTTCACTGAAAGAATTTGTATAAGTAGATAGTCTGCAATCCTTTAATGTTTGATAGAATTCTCCAACGATGACCTCTGGGTCTAGAGCTCTTTTCTTGCTTTCTTCTGGGTTAATCAAATAATTTTACCATCCTATTTTTCTTTCTCTATAGACTCCATAGCTTTATGTCCTTGTATTTGTTTCTAGTGGATTGGAGTATGAATCCTTAAATGACCACTGTCTATTTAGAGTTACTATTTACCATTTTATGCAAAAGATAATGATCATTCGGTAGTGTTGTCCTACTCCTATTAATTCTTATGTTATTATTGTCATGTATTCACAATATAATGTTACAGTTTAAATTGTTCACTTTCTTCAAATAAATTTAGGAAAATAAAAATATAGATATCCACATATTGATCATTTATGGTGTTCTTCAACTTTCCCTGCAGATAGGAGTTTAAGTCTTGTGTTTTTTGCCTCCCATCTAAAAGACTTTAGAAGCCTTTCTGTGATGTGGGTCTGCTGGAAAACTGTTCTCTTAGTTTTTATTGAAAATATTCTTATTCCACTTTCAATTTTGAAGGGTATTTTTTGCTGGATATAGAATTCTGACTTGACAGTTTAGTTTAGTTTAGTTTAGTTTAGTTTAGTTTAGTTTAGTTTAGTTTCTTTCTTTCACCACATTTTGTTCCTTGAACAGTCCAGGCCAATTTCCACTCCTACCTCTCTATGTTTTCTGTTTACTCTTCCTGGACAACTCTTGAACTAGTTCTTCAATCACAGCTTAATTCTCATTCCCTTGGTTTCATATCATACTTCTCAGAGAACTCTTGACCATGCTACCAAAAAATCACCCTTCTTCTCTGGTTCTTTCTCATTATCCTGCTTACATTCTGTGTGACACTCACAATCTTTAATTATGTTTTTCTTTCTTTACTTGTTTCCTGTGTTCCTACCTGACTAGCTCCATAAATAATTTTATTCTGCCTGTTTTATTCTCTCCTACATTCTTGGCATTCAGCAAAATAACTGGCATCATAATAAAGTCATAATGATGTTTCTCTAATGTATAATGGATGCATCTAAAGTTGCAGGGACATCTAAAGTCTAACTTTGCTAGAGTAGTCACATACTGCTGAACCCTCCAGGACCATCTGTTCTACATCTTGTACTTGGGAATATAAATACAAAAGTGATGCATCTTCAGGAAGCTTTTTCAGACTCTCTGAGTTAGAAACAATTTTCTCCCCTAGTTCCTGTAACATGCTATTCATCCAGACAGTGGTACTTCTTATGATCTACCTAACACTGTTGACATGTGTATTCATATATTCTCTCTCCAACTGGACTGTCAGTTCTTTGCAGGCAGGGACTATATTTCCTAACACATATTGGCAATCCTGCAGAAATAACCTTTAGGTCTGCAGAGGTTTTATGGATACTCTTAAGAAGGTATTGCACTGAAAATGAATTAAATAAGAAAGTTAGCATTTTTGTTTAATAAGACTCTGGTTCTCTGAGGAAGAAAGAGCTGTATAATTCCAAAGTATTTGGCTTTCAACTGAGCATTAATAAAGCCCTAAGTTCCCACCAAGGACACTGTGTCATGTGTGGGGGAGGACTCCTCTGCTCCTTTGCTGCCTTTGTTCTTGTTTATACGCACAGCCTTTCTAGTTTATACTCCCTGTAGTTTGCATCGCAATAAAGTGCCAAATATTCCCTGCCCACGCCTCTGTTTGGCTGCAGAGCATGAAAACTTTAGTGGAAAGTAAGAGATCAGAATATTTTTTTAGATTTGTTGGTGATCCTAAAAGTGCCTATTTTTAAAAATAAATATTTATACCTGCTGCCAAACTGAACCTCCATTTGTTATGATGAGACCTTTGATTAGTCTGTAATCGGAAGGGGACCTGTATAAAAAGTAGTTACCATTTATTATGAGAAGATTGATGGAGAACTGTGGAGTGAGAAAGGCCTGAAGCTGGCTTTCATATTCTGATTCCATGCATAAAAGGGGAGATAAGGATTTAAACAACTCATAAGCATGCTGGTTGTGATAACTTACAGCCCAGAGGCTTGGGGACTATGGTAACTTTCTCAATCATGCACACCTGTGAAATTCAAAAGTGATATAAGCACAGCTCTTTTTTATAGAATAACATTTTAAGACCTTCTATTGTTCTGACAAATTCAGGTTACCAAAAGGCATATGAATCTATGGGGCAGTACTTGTTAAAGCATGTGTGTATGTTGAGGTTTGGAGTTACTAGTCTGAAACTTCTTGTATATTCCCAGGCCATATCCAAAACTTATAGAATCGGAGTCGCCAAAAGTTGTGCTGGAGAATCTACATTTTAGCACCATAACTGGAAGCTGTATGCACACTCAGGAGTTTGGGAGTCATTGCTTAAGCCTAAGGGAATAGAGAGGCAACAGTTGTCTATTTCATCTCTGAATCATCAGTCTGTACCTGGAAAGTTTTGAGTCCCTTAGATTACTTCCCAAAAAGGTCTTAGAGACCTGTGGTTTCCATTGTGATTAGCTATTTATTTTCCCATAGGTTTCAGGTGAGAGAGAAGAACTCTTCCCACAGCTCACATGGAGAAGTAAAACTCATAGTACTGTATAGCTCCCTTTTAGAAACTCTCTACCTATTTCTTTCTATCTCTCTTTTAGACTGGTGGTGAATGATGAGCTTGGGACTGGAAACTGGTTCTTGATCACTTCCTTTGGATGCCCTGAATTGTGGCCCTCATATTCACTTTAGTAATGTGGATGTAGTTAGCATCTGTGTCTTAGGACTTCAACTTAGGGCTTCATCTGGACATTGGGACAGATATAATTCCATTTTAACACCTCTTTGAAATCATAATAATAGCTAATTTATATTGATCACTTGTTATGTGTCAGTCATTCTTTCACACGTTTTTCCTCAGTCCTCCCACAATCATATAAGAAAACAGAAGTACAGAGAAGTCAAATAATTTGTATAATTGTACCCAGATATCAGGTCGTAAAATTCTTCTAACAATGTGTGCCCTTGACCATAATCAAACCCAGGACCCTTCAGTCTACAGGCCAATGCTCTAGCCACTGAGCCAACCCAGCTAGGGCTAACAATGTGCATTATTTTTCTATTAAGAATTTTGTCTCTTAGAAAATACTATGCATTCATCAGAAAAAATTGCTATAGTTGTTTTATAGTCTGGTTTTTACAATGGTAAGACATTGAATTTTGGAGCAAAATTAATAAAAACAACTCTTACTAAGAATTTTAATATATATTATTCACTTAATTCCTATAACAACCTTGTGATGTGGATGGTCTTGTCTTCATCTTGCAGTTGAAGGAAACTGAGGCTAGGAAGAAATTATGTGACTTCCTCTAGATCAGTGGTTCTCAACCTTGGCTGCACATTAGAATCACCTGGGAATCTTTTTAAAATCCTGATTTCTGGGCCTCATCCTCCGGAAATTCTGTTTCTTTGTTACTAATGTTGTGGCCCCACCCCATAACAAGAAACAGAATTTCCAGAGGATGAGGCCCAGAAATCAGGATTTTAAAAAGATTCCCAGGTGATTCTAATGTGCAGCCAAGGTTGAGAACCACTGCTCTAGATCATACAACCAGAAATGATTGGAGCCGGGATTTATATCTGCAGTTTCAGATCTTAACTCTGAGTTTCCTTTTCTCTCTGCTCTGCTGGGACACACCATCAGAAGGAATGTGTTCAGTTGTGGGTCTCTGAGCTGTGGCAAATGTTTAAAGTTGTTTTGTTGAAGCTGCTTTCTAACATGTTGACTCTAGATGAGTCAATATTACAAAGGAATGAGATTTTTAATAACCTCTTTGGAAACAGAGAACATCTTATTCATCTTAGAATCCCCAGTGCCTGGTCCAAAGTTGATCCTCTATTAATGAACTAATTAAATGAATAAATAAATAAATAAATAAATAAATAAATAAATAAATAAATAGATAACATCCTTTTAAACTCTCTAGTGGGAAGTAAGCTTTCTTGTGAAATAGATTAATATATGATCCCTCTGAGTATTTACATTTTATAAGATGATCCTGAAAGAAGAACCCAAGTGAATGATATGTAAGTTGTTCTCTGACTCTGCCGTTGGAGTAGTTGTGGAGGAGGAATTGAGACGGGTATTCTCTGGAGTCTCAAGTTTCATGCAGATAAGACAGCTCACCATCTCTGTCTGCCTTGAGAAAGACTACACTGCTTCTTTGCTTAAGTTACAAAATTTCCAGAACCATTTTATATCAAAAATATGTTTTAATAATGTCAGCCACCCATACATGGAGCAGGCACCTTCTAACATATTCACAGTTATACTTCTGCTAAGACACATGTTGACTGGGCTCTGGAAGGAGGGATCAAAATGTTGTTGGTGGGATGGACCAGATAACTGCTAAGACATTCTGTCCCTGACTTTGGGAGATTCTAGAATTCATTCAGGTGGTTGAAGACAAGGATGCAGCTAATGCGGTCTGTCTGTTGTCCACAGGTCTGAGGCGCAATTACAGATGTACCATCTGCAGTGTCTCTCTAAACTCAATAGAACAGTATCACGCCCACCTGAAAGGATCTAAACATCAGACCAAGTAGGTACTTCCACTCTTTAGTGCTTTTGTTTGTGGTTTTTAGATGATGGTTAAAGGATAACCATTTTAATTATTTCTGCATTTAAACTGCATCTCTTTATCTCCAAAGTTCCCTTGGTAGTGTTGCTGCAGAAGTCTCCCAAGTCTGCTTAGCATTATTTGAAGAATGGCTTCTTCTCCTTTGGGGGCACAAATAATGATAGGCTTTCTTCTTTCATTTTCAAGGACAGTTCAGCACATTTTTTATAAACTTCAGGAAACATGTATATCTATTCTAAGGGTTTTTAAATAAACAATGTTATCACTATTTGAAGGACGTGCCAGACTTTGGTGTTATGTCAAATTCCACGCATGTCTTCTACTACTCTCCATTTCTAGATGAATGTTGTTAATTAGTTTAGAAACTTAACAAATCTTATGGTATATTAAATCATTCACATACATAAGTATTTCCAATTAAATGGAAGCTTAGTTCATTATTTTAAAAGAAATTCTCATGATTTTAAACCTAACAAGGCTAATCAGGCATAATTTCACCTATATTTATACTTTGCATCTTTTTAGAAGTGAATGATGTTAGCTTTGCAGGCATTTTTAAAGTAGCTGCTAGGACTGCTAATAAAAATCTAGCAAAATAGAAAAAAATACACAAGGAATATCTCAAAAGTTTATAATTTTCTTGAGTGTAATTGTTTTCATTTCTCTCCTATTTATCAGCAGAATCATTTAACAGATTTGACTGTACCAAGGCTTCATAAATAATAAATGATGTATTTAACACACATTTATTGAGCTCCACTATGTGTCAGACTCTGAGGTGTGCACTGGGAAATAAAAGATGAATTGACCCAGGCCTGCCTCTTGTGGAGCTGCCTGCCAGGCGGGGGGCGGGGAAGGGGGAAAGGGGGAAGGGGGATGTAAACACACAGGTTTTTCTCTAATACCACGTGGACACCTACAGCTTCGAGTATTAGGGAGAGAACAACTAGGGCAAGTTTATAGGCGTGTTGGTGCAGAGTTTGACAGATAAGGTTGAGGTCATGGTCTGATGCTACTCACCGTCAGAATCCCGGTGCCGAGCACAGCACTTCATGCCTATTAAGGGGTTCATAAACATTTTCGATGGAATGAATGTGTGATTTTAAAGTACAAGTAACAATTTTTCATGCAGGCATATGAGGAAGTACATTGCAGGCAAGGACATTTCTTTGCAAGGATATTTTAAAGACATAGGTTACAGGGGGTCTGATGCAGGTGAGGAAATGGAAGCCTAGATTTGGTTACTGACTCTCAGTCTCTTCATCCATGTTGTGCTGTCTCATGAGTCAAAGGCACTTTCATGACTCACTTTACTCTGATCCACCCCCAGAGTACTTTTATCAAGGGAATTCTGCAAAAAAAAATTTTTCTCTGATTTGCTATAGAGTACCTAGAGTGCTTGTATTGATTATTGGACGCTGCTGTCCCCTCCTCCTCCAAATAGTCTATTAATCTCTCCAACTTTGTAAAAGGCACCATATGCATTCTAATTAACATGCATCGAATCTACAGACCAGGATATTGCAAGTAGCTGCAACAATAAATGGTAATCTTTTAGAGTCATGTATTTATTGCACTTAATATAGATAATATTAATATATTATCTATACTAATAAAAGGGTAATATGCTAATTAGACTGGACGTCTTCCAGATGACCTTCTGGATGTCCTTCCTGACAAAGCTGGGACAGGGCAAAGCCGCCTGTGGTCCCAGGTGCCTGCAGCTGTCCCAGCAAAGCCGGGTGCCAGGTGCCTGCGGCTGGCCAGAGGAGGGAAGCCTGGGTCTAGGCTGCAGGGGCCGAGGCAGAGGCGGTTAGGGGTGATCAGGCAGGCAGGGGATCAGTTAGGGATGATCAGGCTGGCAAGGGAGCAGTTAGGGGCGATCAGGCAAGCAGTCAAGCAGTTAGGAGCCAGTGGTCCAGGATTGTGAGAGGCATGAGGGATTGGGCCTATAACGGCAGTCGGACATCCCCCAAAGGGTCTTGGATTGGAGAGGGTGCAGGCCATGCTGAGGGACCCCCACCCCCATGCACGAATTTCGTGCACCGGGCCTCTAGTCATATAATATATTATATATTTGTAATGTAGAAAGGTAGACAGTGATTTTGAGTGGCATGAATCATGTAAGTAACTAATGCAGACAGTATCTCCAGCTTTGGAAAATTTTCTGTCTGTCTATGTGCATATATAAAACTTTACTTGCCAGAATCTGTGCCAGCCATTTCACACCTATTATCTCATTTAATCCACTTAACTACTTTGAGATACTATTGATCCATTGTTTTATATGAGAACACTAAGGCTCAGAGAGACAAAGCAACTTACCCAACATCACCTTGCCAACAAATGGCAGATCCGGGACTGAATCTTGCAGTGTGACTCATGCTTCTGCTTCTTCCATTTCACTTAGTCACCACATGGGCATGGGATGAAAGACTGCCAATAGAGAGTACTATGATAAATTTTTAGTACTTCCCTGGTGGGATTTAATAATTATATGTGACTTCAGAAGGGTACTTCTCCTACTGTGCAATCTTCTTTCCAATAAACACATTTTTTTTTCTACCTCAGCACAAGGTTGCTCTGAAGAGTGAAATGAGGGAAATATGAAGAAAATAATTGTAATAGCTTTGTCCCACGTGCTTACTTCATCTGCCCTCATACCTAATTTGGATTGTGTGTGTGTGTGTGTGTGTGTGTGTGTGTGTGTGTGGCCATGTTTATGAGCTACATCATTCCATAATTTTTTTGTAACATTCTTGTCAAGTTTAGTATCAAAAGATATGCTGACAGCATTAAACAAGTTGAGAGGTCTTCTCTCTATTTCTGATCCCTGATTGAGTTTGTGGTAAATGTTATTATTTCTTAAGTATTAGGAAGAACTAACTGATGTAGCCATCTGGAGTTAATCATATGGGAATATCTTTACTAGAATTTTAATTTCTTTAGTGGAGCACTGTTCATATTTTCTATCTATGATTGGATCAGTTTGAATATGTTGTTTTTCAATGAGTTTGCCCATTTATCTAAAATTTAAAGTGCCTTGATATATAGTTGTTCATGATATGATCTAATTTTATTTTTGTCTGGAAGATGTTTTTTATTCCTGACATTGTTTATTTGTGACCCTTCCTTTTCTTGTCTATTGATAATTTTAGAAATATTTCAATATTTATTTGCTTTTGTTGAATGAGTGTTGGGTTTGGTGATTTTCTCTATGTACAGTTATTTTCTACCATTTTAAAATTATCTTCATCCTACTCCCTTCGGATTTAATTTGCATTCCCCCCCTAGCTTGTTAACATCAAAGTATAGGTTATTAATTTTTCAGTGTTCCTGTTTTTCTAATATATGCATTTAAGGCTCTCAATGTGCCGCTACAAATTGATTTTGCTATATTCTGCAAGTCACCTTTTTTTTATATCCCAGAAGTTGTAATATGTGGTATTTTCATCATTATTTATTTATTTATTTATTTATTTATTTATTCTTATTGTGATTTCTCTTTTACTCATGGTTAACTTAGAATATTTGGGAGATTTTTATATTTATATTTTTGTGCCAATTCTACTATGGTCAGAGGACATACTGTAAATGAATTCAATCCTTTGAAATTTGTGTAGGCTTGCTCTGTGCTCCCAGAATATGGTCAATCTTGGTAATATCCTATATTCATTTTTTTAAAGTGTCTTTTTCAATAATTAGGTAAATGGCTCTATATATCAATTACATTAAGTTTCTCAATATTGCTCAAATTTCCTATGCCCTTATTGTTTTTTTATGTGTATGATATCCATGAGAAATAGAGGCAGTTAAAATATTCTAACTATAAATATGGATTTGCCTAAGTGACCTCTTAATTCTATTTAAAATATATATTAAAGGTACATTATTAGATGCTTATAAATAAAGGATGTTTTTATGTATTCCTGTTAAATTGGCACTTTTTGTCACCATGAAATGGCCTTCTTTCTTAATAGCAATACTTTCCTTAACATATACCAACATCAGCTATACCAACTCTTCAAAGCTTCCAAAATGTTTTCTGTAAACTTTATCCAGCTTTTATTTCGTTCTCAGGTTAAAGGTTAGCATTACACCAATTACCCTATTGGGGCTGGAAATGGAAGTCAGCCAGTGAAATGGTTCCTAACTATCCTAATCTGATGAATTAAAACAGCATAACTATTAAGGTGTCAGCAATGTTCAATATCGTATATTTATATTTTTACTAATAATTTCTAGTAAAAGTGTTGAGATGAGTAAATATTATTAAAATATATAGTGCAAAGAGCACTGACTTTTAAGTCAGTAGATTTTATTCTGGTATAACTTTGCCACTGAGCGATCTTGGGCGCTGACAAACCTTCTTTAAGTCTCAGGTCCCTTACAGACAAGTGAATAGTGATGACAAGAACAGGGCAAATGTGTATCCACTTTCCATGCCTTCCTCATGATCCTAGTACTCTTTCCTTCTCATCCTGAATTCAGTCTTAACATTCTTAAAATAGCTCCCCAATTAGGTTTCACCATTTTATTAGAATTAGTAATATGTCCCAAAAATTATGTCCATCCAGAACTACTTGCAGATATAAGTAGTTAAGAATATCAAGATGGAATTATTCTGGATTTATTGTGGGCCCTAAATCCAATGCCTGGTGTCTTTATGAGAGAAAGGAAAAGGAGAATGGGACACAAAGAGATTACGGCCATGTGAAGACATAGGTAGAGATTGGAGTTATGTTTTCACAAACCAGGAACACCAGGAACCAGCAGGGTCTGGAAGAGGCAATGATTGATTTTCCTCTGGAGCTTTTTGAGGATGTGCCCTGCTGACACCTTGATTTCAGACTTCTGTTCTCTAGAATTGTGAGAGGATAAATTTCTGGTTTTTAGAAATGTTTTTATATTGATTTTAGAGAGAGAGGGAGGGAGATGGAGAGAGAGAAACATTGATCGGC